GACGCAAATTCGTATCAAGAAAAGATTAAATTAAATTAAATCGTATCGATAGAATCCCGGTACCGATTCCCTATGTCTTACCCTCCGTCTGTAGTCCAGATGCTGCCCTGATGATGTCCATTTGCATTGTATTGCACGATTCAAAGTTTCGAACTGGTAAAATACTACTACCTACTTGTTTAGTGATTTTCATCATTTGAGGCAATTGTTAAACCAGATGTTGAACGGATATTTTCTAAAGAAGGCAGGGTCAATTTATGAAAAACGCTCAAGATTAAGTGCAAATAAAGTGTCACAACTATTATTAATAACTTTTAATGCAATAATATGTTCTATTATTTGTTATTTTATTTTGTAACAACAAATAATCAATATTTAGATATCTATTTTGTAATCTGTCATATTTAACATAAAATGATAAACATCATTGTTTTGTAATAATATATAATAAATATGTTTTGAATATAATTGAAAAAATATTTGAGTTTACCTCGGTTATTTCAGAAAACATGGGCTACGTCTTCTTATTTTCTATCACGCAACGCATTCTTGATTTTGAGACGATACGAATCTCTCTTCAGCTTATAGTTGCAAAATATGTAAAACGAATTTATTAGGTCTTATTTTCAATGATTAATTGTGTTTACCTCGCATCAAAATTATTTTTTCCCTTCATATACCCTTTGATTCCTTGATTATTAAACATTCTCAATTTAGTTTAATTTTTTTAGTCTTGGATTAGTTCAGTTACAATATATTTTTTAAATCTACGCGCGATGACTTACACTATGTATGTATACATATAGTGTGTCAAGTGTAACCTGTCTCTATAGGTCTTCCTCGTTTTACCGTATATTTTAAACAGATAGAACGTCTTCAAATCACCAAAATTAATTGATTTTTTAGTTCTACTCAGATACAAGTTTTTTTTATTACTCCCTTCTATTTACGATCAGTTTAAATAACAAACTATAAGTAAATGTCATGTTAAAATTAAAAGAAAAGTAATGTAGAGAATATTCCAGCGAACATTTCTCTCTCTTAATCAACTAACTTAAATTCAGTTGCCCATTCCTATCATTGCACTGTGTCTATTCAAACATTAAATCTGTCTATTAAGTCTGTTGACTTGAATCTCTTGAGTCGGCGCACTTCACCGGTATTGTCAAGAAGTTGATTAGCAAGCACGTTGGGGTGCACTTGTAGTCTGGCTTCATATTTTTCACAGTATCTCTTCGCTTCGCTTTTGACTGATGGCATATTCAAGTCAGTTGCTATGATTTTGTTTGGGACGTTGGCCACGACGGCGTTGGTCACCATGCGAATGACTTTGTTCTGGAATCTCTGTAGGATTTCTATATTGGAGTTGCTGGCTGTTCCCCATAGTTGTATGCCATATGTCCATATGGGTTTTAAGATAGTTTTATAGATAAGCAGTTTATTTTGTGATAGTTGAGATCTTCTTCCAATTATCCAATACATCTGATGTAGTTTAAGGCCTAGCTGTTTCCTCTTTGTGAATATATGTTTCTGCCATGTTAGTCTTTTGTCCAGATGTAATCCGAGGTACTTTGCACTTTCTTGTTGTGTTAGTTAGGAACTGTTGAGAAAGATCGGTGGGCATTCCTCCCGTTTCATTGACTATGTGACATGTACACATTTTCTTTCATTGGCTTTGATCTTCCATCTTCTGAGCCACGTCTGGATTTTATTCAAGTTGTTCTGCAAATTCTTTGATGTTTTACTCGCGCTCGCGTGTGTTGTCAGTACTGCTGTATCATCAGCGAATGTTGCGACTGTCGTCAATCTGGTAGTCGGCATATCTGCTGTAAAGAGCAGGTAGAGTATGGGTCCCAAAACACTTCCCTGTGGTACTCCAGAATTTATCGCGTATAGGTCTGAATATGCATCTTGGTGCCTGACTTGGAAGTGTCTGTCTGAGAGGTATAAACGTAATAGTTGGTGGAATGGAAGGGGTAAGTATTTCTTTAGTTTGCAGCACAACCCTTCGTGCCAGACCTTGTCAAAGGCCTGACCTATGTCCAGAAAAGCTGCAGAGCAAAATCTCTTATGTTCGAGGTTATTCACTATTCATTTGCTTCACCAATCTGTTGATACAAATCAACTATTGAACAATCGATAGTTCCGTGCTTGTACCGAAAACCAAATTGATGGTTGGGGATGAGCTTTTCCTTCAACAGGATTGGTTCAAGGCGCTTGAGAAACAGCTTTTCGAACAGTTTTGAGATTAAGATACAAGTTGAAGCAGCGAAACGTATTAAGTAATGCTGAACGCCAAAAACAATTTCGTACCATAAAAATGAGCATTCAGTAATAGATCAACTCAAAGTAGCTTTCATCAACTGAACGTTAAAGATTATGCAAAGCAAATAAGAAATTAAGACTAAAAATATAGAAACTGAAGAAGAAGAAGAGTTTACACAAACCTAAGAAGAGCAATATGTACAACCTCTCGGTGAAGAATATTAACGGCCATTTGCACCAGTGAACCTAATCGCCAGAGCCTAAATACTGAACGTATAAAACCCGCATTTGAGCAATTATATTTAGGTAACGACCATACCACGTTGAATAATACCGGTTCTCGTCCGATCCAGTCGACCCTTGACAGGCAAGGTAGAGCGGTCGCATTCTGTAAGTCACCGAAATTTTGCGAAACGCCTGGCTTCATTCCATTGTTGCGGGGAGTTTTCGAAGTGAAGGTTATCTTTTTCGCCCGTTTTCAGTGATTATTTTCATTTTTATTATTATTTACGGACTTATTTAAACGCTTTGCGGAATAGTGTCGTTCCGGTCGTGGCGGACATTTCCGCCACTCTTAGCTCGCTCGAGTCCTCAGTGGCTGCCACGGACAATGAGGACAATGAGTCCGAAGTGCCGCAAAACTTGACTTTGAACTGCTCTAGTTCTCTAGTTGTTCTAAAATGCCCGAATAAATAATTTCGAATTTAATTAAAACGCACCGGTCTCTTAAATTAATCAGACAAAGTCTAGGAGTTGTTAAATAATGGGATGTTGCTGGAGTATATTTTGCAAAGATGATAATTCTTTACAGGCAAGTATCAGCAGCAGTGTCTTCCTTTGTTTTCCTTCGTATTTTTCTTTAATTACTTGTTGAAATTGGCTTGATTTTCCTTAGAATCGAGAACCAAACGAAAGGACACATCTGCTGATAGATCCAGTATCAAATAATGTGCACATTGCAAGAGTTAACAGGTCAGTTTTTGGTTTTCGAATGCCTCTACTTTGCCTACCTTATCGGTCATAGTTCAAGTTTTAGTAAAATTAATTAGTTTATCGTCCAATGGTATTTACAATTATAAACAATCGTTTTATTAACAACTTTTCTTTGTGGTGGAGGTCAAGTCTTTGTTTTCTAATGGAAAAGCAGTGAGTTTCAATCAGCGAAAAGTGGCGGAAAACGCATTACTCTAAAAACACCACTAAAAGCCCGTTTACACGTTCAAGCCATCTGAACGATTTGGCTTGCGCAAGCCAGATCTGTGCAGATGAACTGAACGAAAATCTGGCGTTTACACGTTCAGTTCGTTTT